GCTTTGCTGGGACAGCTGTGGGTTCCATGGGCCAGGGGCCTGGCACATCCTGCCTGGTGACATCCCCCAGCAGGAATAAATCCCGGGGCTCCCCGGACACTGCAGCTCTGGCAGTAACTCAGCTCTGCCTTCTGGAGCCCTCTGGATTTGATGAATCTCTTTCTCCCATCTCTGTTTCCAAACCAAATGGCTCTGTGGGAGCAGGCAGAGAGGGAACGAGACGGGTCCCAGCTCAGCCAGCCCTTGTTGTGAGCAGCAAGAGGGGGTGATGGTGAACGGAGTGAGGGCAGGGGTTGGCTCCTGGGGGGTGACACTGAAAAGTGTCAGTGGGAAAAGATGGAAAAGAGCTGGGAAAGGGGCTGAGCCTGGAGCAAAGGAGGCTCCGGGGGGACCTTGTGGCTCTGCACAACTCCCTGACAGGAGGGGACAGCCGGGGGGGTCGGGCTCTGCTCCAGGGAACAGGGACAGGACAAGGGGAAACGGCCTCAGGCTGGGCCAGGGGAGGCTCAGGGTGGACATCAGCAGGAATTTCTGCATGGAAAGGGTGCTCAGGCCTTGGCAGGGGCTGCCCAGGGAGCTTTGGAGTGYCCATCCCTGGARRTGTCCMAGGAAGGGCTGGAGGTGGCACTCAGAGCTCTGGGCTKGGGACAAGGTGGGGATGGGCACAGCTTGGACTCCATGGGCTGGGAGGGCTTTTCCAACCCAAATGATGCCGGGATTCTGATTTTATAGCCCAGCATGCTCAGAGTGGCATTTCTGGGGGTGTTCATAGTTTCATGACCTCCTTTCCCATACAGGTCATCCATACAGGTGTTTGTGCTTTATTCTTCTCCTGCTGTTTTTATTTGCTGTTTGAATCTTGCCATCTCAAGGTACCCAAAGTAACATTTGCTCTCCAAATATAAATCCAAATCCAGCAGGCAAGCTGGCAAACAAACYGCTGGCAGGCAGAAGAACTGTCTTCTCTTTGTTTCTATGTGTAGCCCTCAAATATGTGAGGCTGTGCTTTAGAGTTCCCAAAGATGCCTGTAAGTCCCGATTGGATATTTTTTTCCCTTCTCCYAATGAAAGTGGATAATTAGTGCAAGGAAGCAGCTTGTCTTCTGCACAGGCTGGGCCTGAACCTTTGGTGCTTAATCCCAGACCTTTGGGACATTTTATSTCTGTTGTCACAGCCATCCTTCGCTGTTCCCAGGCTTTCCATGAGGGATGAGGGAGGAAGATCCTGGTGCTTTCTGCTCTTGACCATGTGGCTGCTGAGCAACACAATAAACACATTTTCCCTGTCGGACACCACGGGTTTATGAGATCTGTGCCTTGGGAGAGCATTCTCCAGGTGATCCTTTCCTTAATCCTGATCCCTGGGATRGATTATCTGCCGAGGAATAATGACCCTGCCATCGGCCTTGGCAATGTCCCCCTTCCTCAGCAGCAGGTGGGCAGGAAGCATCTTTGGGAGAGCTGATCTGGGCTCAGGGGGACTCTCAGGGAGCTCCTGGCACTGTYAGATCCTCTGAACAGCCTGGCAGGTAGGATTAAACACATGCCAATGCCTCTGGAATCCCTGAGGTGCCCGTGGTGGCTGTGCTGCTCCTGGCCCTGGGGAGGGCAGGAGGAGGCTGGAAGAGCCTGGGAGAGTCGGGGGGAGCAGCTGGGAGCAGGTTTGTTCTGTCAGCCCCTTCTGTGTGCTCCGAGGTGGCTCAGCAGGACGTGGTGGGCTCGGCTCAGACCTCACCTTTCCAAYGGRCAGCACAAGGARCTCCTTCTGCAGCTGCTTGGGCCCGAGCCCATCCTGACTAACAGCCAGAAAGAGGGAGCAGGAGCCATCCAGACCAGTATCCCGCTCCGGGAGCAGTCATTGTCCTTATTTCCTTGTGGGAAATGGCAAATGTGTGATGCACCTCCCCCTTCAGACCCCATCCGAGTGAAGGTGAGTGGGCCATCAGGAAGAGCATTCCCAGCAGGGCA